GATCTTTTCATCTTCTACAGACCGTGTTCATCGTTTAACGGGAGCGCAACCCTCCCCCCCCGGCCTCTCGCGCGGGCGCCGCGTCCGCAGCCGGGGTGATTGACGTGGACGAGCCGATGGGGCCTGCGTCGTCTACGTCGCCGCGGACGCCGACGCGTGCGCCGGCAGGGCGCGGGGGCACGCCGACACGCACGCCGCCGCGCGCAGCGGGGCGCAGCCCGGCGGGGCGCAGCCCGGCGGCGCGGCGGGTGCTGGCGACGCCGCCAGGCGCGCGCGCGGACGTGGTGATGGTCGACGACCGCGACGAGAAGGAGAAGGGGCAGCACCGCGTCGCCGACAAGATCGTGCTGGACTACCTGAAGAAGCGCGGACATAGCAAGGCCGTCGAGGCCCTGCTCAAGCACGACCTTGGTGGCATGGGCATTAACGCGGCGCTGGCGCAGAGGAAGGAGTGGGCCGTGGAGGAGGCGGTCGTCGACGATGATCTCAAGAACTTGCTCATGATGCTCAGCCGCCCGTCGGAGCTTGCGGACAATGATGCGCGACGGTTTGCGGAAAGTTATTGCGAACTGAGGGATTGGGTGGATAATAGCTTGGATATTTACAAGGCGGAGTTGCATAGCGTCTTGTATCCGATGTTGGTGCACTGCTTCTTGGAGATCGTGAGGAGGGAGCATTGGAAGGAGGCCCACGCGTTTTTGAAACGATGCTCAGCCGAGTTTAGCGAAGGGGGAGGGCCTGACGGGGCGTCCGGCCGGCGGGAAGAGATTATCGCGCTGTCGGGAATTTCGTCGACGCAACATCTTGAGGAGAACGCGACGGCCAAACTGTTTTTGCACCACCGATACGAGATCCACTTGTCTAGCTATGCGTATGAGCTCGTGATATCGTTTCTGGCGGATGATCCGAGGAGGAGCGTTCTGCTGCGGATCCTGAACACGAGATGCAAGATCGCTGAGAATGCGCCGGCGGTGTCGGGAAGGGGTGGGGCTAGTGGGGGTGGGGGTGGGGCTGGTGGGAGTGCAGGCGGGCTTTTGCTAGAGAACACGGGGGAGAAGCAAGGATTCATCCCGGCCGCCGAGAGGAAGGGCCTGCTGGAGAAAGAGGTGCTGTGGGGGAGGCTTCGGCCCGAGCACTATATGATCGCCGATGAAGTAGAGACGGCGGCAAAGGGCAAAGGAAAAGGGAAGGCGGGTGCGGAGAAGGGGAAGGCGGGGGGCGAGAACAAGACGAAAGGGGAGACGTCGAAGAAGGACGCGGGCGGGGACGATGAGGAGCGGCCACGGACGCGGGAAGACGGGACGATCAGCGAGTCACGGATCCCGCTGAAAAAGTATCGGCAAGGTGCAGCCGGGTTGGAGACGGCCGGGGACCGGAAGAACCGAGCCAAGCTGGAGCAGCTGGCATGGGACACGGAGAGCGCCAAGAGCGAGCTGGCGATCCTGTGCTACACGTTTACCAACACGAAGGAGGACGAGCTGAACTGCTCGGGGATCTCCGAGGACGGGTCGCAAGTGGTGGCCGGGTTTGGGGATTCTACGGTGCGGATGTGGGACGCCAAGGGGACGGGGACAGCCGAGAGCGGGGCGGGCGGGCTGGGCGGGCGTGCGGCGCGACTCGTCGGGCACTCTGGTGCTGTGTACTCGGTGGACTGGAGCAAGTGCGGGCGGTTCATCCTGAGTGGGTCCGGGGACGGGACGGTGCGGCTGTGGAGCGCAGGGCTCAAGTCGAACGTGGTTGCGTACCGCGGGCACAACTACCCGGTATGGAGCGTGGAGTTCTCGGGGGTGGACCACTACTTTGCGAGCGGCGGGTACGACCGGACGGCGCGGGCGTGGTGCACGGAGCGGATCTCGCCGGTGCGGATCTTCGCGGGGCATCTGGCGGACGTGGACGCGGTGCGGTGGCACCCGAACTGCAACTACGTGGGGACGGGGTCGTCGGACCGGACGGCGCGTCTGTGGGACATGCGTGACGGGCGGTGCGCGCGTGTGTTCGGGCCGCAGGGCGGGACGGTGCACGCGCTGGCCTTCTCTCCGGACGGCAAGACGGTGGCGTGCGGCGGGGACGGTCGCGCCGTGGAGGTGTGGGACGTGGGGATGGGGACGCGCGTGACGCGGCTGCGCGGGCACGCCGGGCGCGTCCTGAGCATGGACTACTCGCGCGAGGGCGCCGTGCTCGCCAGCGGCGGGGCTGACGAGGCCGTGTGCGTGTGGAACGCGGCTGGGTGAAG